TTTTGGGACAGAGAGAGACAGAGCATGAACGGGGGAGGGGCAGAGAGAGAGGGAGACACAGAATCGGAAACAGGCTCCAGGCTCTGAGCCATCAGCCCAGAGCCCGACGCGGGGCTCGAACTCACGGACCGCGAGATCGTGACCTGGCTGAAGTCGGACGCTTAGCCGACTGCGCCACCCAGGCGCCCCATGTCACGGCCATATTTAAAATGTCATGACTGTCAAAGCACGCTAAAAAGTAGTAGGTGTGAAGTCTCTTTGCAAGTTCTGCCATTCTCCAATTACGGGCTGGCACCAGCCACCTAGCTGAATCTTCTAAAGACAACTTCATACGATTATGAAGTTTTAATGGTAAACAAATATGAAAGACTACAAACTGTAAAACTTTAAATGTATTAGGGGCACCTGGATGGCTTAGTTGGTTGAGGGTCCAAATCTTGACTTTGGCTCACATCATGATCCCAGGGTCATGAGATCAAGCCTCTCGTCACGCTCCATGTTGAACAGAGACCCTACTTAAGATTCTCTCTCTCCCCTCTCCCCAGCTCACATTCTCTTAAAAAACAAACAAAACAAAACAAAATAAAACAAAACTTAAACTGTCTTAATTCTTTTTTCCCTCTCATTGACTTCTCACTCTTTCCCAGAAGTCATTAAAAAAAAGACCAATCAACTTGGGCAATTTTAAAACTTAAAATTTCTACTCAGCACAAAAATAAACCATAAATAGGTGAAATGATTAACTGCAAAACATCTGCAATACATAAGAAATTATTTTAAATGCCATAATTTTCATTAAAAAGTTACATGGCTCCAAGAGTAAAGGTTTAAAATTGTTAATTTTTCCAAACATCTCTACAGATAGGAAGGGATTACATCCAAAGAGCTCTTACAAATAATTTTTAAAAGCTGGTTACTACCTACACAAAAATGTTGAAATTCATAAAGAAAATAAATCAATAACTCTGGATACCATTTTCACTGATCCTACCAAAATTATTTCTAATAGCAAAAAATATAAAAAACAGTCGAAATATTCACCAAAAGAAACTGGTTATTAAACAGAGTGTGGACATACATGCTATGCAGTTATGAAGAAAAACAATAACAGAAGAAATTTAACAGAAACTTCCTGTGGAAAGTGAGGTATTTGTTGCTTTTAATTTTCTCCCTTTATCTTGTTCAAATGTAAAATTATCTTTAATTAAATAAATCTGTGGTTCTTCAAATTCAAATTGTTAATACTTCATTAAATACAGGGGCTCCTGGGACTTGGGTGGCTCAGTTGGTTAAGCATCCGACTTCGGTTCGGTTCGGGTCATGATCTCAACTGTTCGTGAGTTCCAGCCCTGCCTCAGGCTCTGTGCTGAGAGCTCAGAGCCTGGAGTCTGCTCCAGATTCTGGGTCTCTTTCTCTCACCCTGCTCCTCCCCCAATTGTGCTCTGTCTCTCCGAAAATAAATAAACGTTAAAAAAAAAAAAAAAAAAGAAACTAAAACAAAAACCCCCAGGGGAGCCAGGTGGCGTGGCTCAGGAGGTTAAGCCTCTTTGGCTCAGGTCCTGATCTCACCGTTAGTGGGTGGGAGCCCTACCTCGGGCTCTGTGCTCACAGCTCAGAGCCTGGAGCCTGCTTGTCTCCCTTCCTTTCTGCCCCTCCACCGTTCGTGCTCTCTCTCAAAAATACACACTTTAAAAAATTAAAAAAAAAAAACAAACCAAAAAAACCCTATTCATTCATTGCTCAAAGCCACCTATTACAATTTTCTTGGGAGTTTCCCCAGGCCAAGTTAATTTCTCCTCTGTGCACTCAGTAATTTTCTTTGTATCTTTAACCTATCACTTAATAAAAAGCTCACATTAGAGTATACTTACTTATAATCCTCAACTCTAGAAAAACAGCCTGGTCTTGAATTCTGGCCCATTCACTTACTAGTGACTTGTGCCTAATTTCTCATTTGTAAAAAAGAAATGATAGTACCTACCTCATAGGACTAAGGAGTAAATTAGTTCATGTATGGAAAGCTCTTAAGAGCAGGCCCTTGCCTCCGCTTAGCACTGATGTTAGCTAACATTACTGAGCACAGAAAATACCCCATTGCTATTTATATTCCTCTAAATTCCCAGCACTGACTTGCACACAGCAAATATTAACAAATGTTTTACTGAATTTAACTGACTTGCTACCAGGGGATTCAAAGGGTTGAGGACGACAAAAACAAGGTCTCTGCAAATGAAATTTACAGCCCAGTCTTCAGGACTGCGACCTTTGTGAGGCTGGTAGGTTTTTTGTTGTTCTTAATTGACAGATTAGGTAGAAGAGAAAGAGTGCATTAGACTGAGTAAAGTAGGAAGAGGCAAAAACAAACAAACAAACAAACAAACAAACAAACAAAACACATTTGGCCCAGGACCAACTTGTCCAGTAACCCCTACTCTTTCCTCAATCTGCTGCTGTCCCTCAGCACCCGAACTTCTTGCCCATTTCCATGGTCTCCTTGTGCCAGGTAAGATTCATCTCTCTGTAAGGCAAGAAAAGGATCGAGTCTCACCCGTTCTGAGCATGTGGTGCTCTTGGGTTACAGGAGTCAGGCAAGCCTTCCTGGAAAAGCTTTCTTGCTAAACTGCTTACCTTCCGGAAGATTCAGATAGTCCAAACTGCTCCCCCTTACCCTAAGGTGGGCAGACCACCCCTCATGCTTCTCTAGGAGCTTCTTCACAGGGAAGCAGTGGGAAAGGTGGCTCCAGAAGTCCCACACCTGCTACCTCCTCACACAACACCCTCCCTAGGATGCCTCCCTCAAGTGCCAGAGCCCCTTGTACTTACCTTGCTTTGATCTATAGTTTATTGTATACCTGGAATTTTCTATATACATCATGTAATGACATTACCTTGGGAGACTTTGAGGGCTTAGGCATGAAAATCAGCGTGCCATTCCTGTCATCGCAGAAAACCGCAGCTCCATGACTTGACAGACATGTGACCTCCAGTAAATTGCATAAAATAAGCCTCAGTTTCTTCATCTAGTAATTGGGAGTTTTCTGCTTTATAGGGTAATATTGAGATTAAACAGGGTAGAGTATATAAAGTTGCGAGTGTGGAGCCCAGAACAGACATGTTACACACTCAATAAATGGGAGACACCTATAGGTAAAGGTGACTTTGTGAAGATTGAAATTAGGCCCTCCAGCTGAGATTTTCCAGGACATTGACCCCCTGTTACCAAGACCCAGGGTTGTATCCCCTAAATAATTTCGTGGTGTGTGTTCCAAAAAGTACAGTGCAGCCAGGATTATGCATGGCGAGACCAGGGCAAGGCACGGAGGAAGGGGATGTCAAAGCAAATGTGATAAATCATTCAAACCTAAGTATTTCACACATAAAAATCCCATTACAGTATTTCTAAAAGCACTATTCAAATTCCCACAATATTTGAGATTAGTAAGACATTAACTTGGGTTTACTGTCTCATCACAAAAGAACAGTTAATCTGCTTCTGTAATAACGTGAATGACCTTGTACCAAGTGCAGGATAAAAATCCATGCTCAGAAATAAAACCAAGATGCAGTTAGTAAAAGCTTAAACAGGTATCTGATAAACACTGTAAAACCTTGCAGAAACAGTAAGTCCTAATATATGCACATATCCTGCTATACATATTAAGATGTCAACTCTCCCCAGATCATAATGTATTTCATTTGTATAAACCCAATCAAAATCCCAGTAAGATCTCTGAAAGAAAAATATAGGTACTCAAGCTTATCTTAAAGAGTAAGTGTCCGAAAATAGCCACCCCACACAAAAACAAAAACAAAAACAAGATGGGCAGCTCCCCCATCAGGTACCAAAACAAAGCATCCAAGGACACTGATTACAGCAGTGGGGTACTGGTGCAAGAACAGCGAAACTTGCAAAGTATCAGGGGTTCATGCCATCCAAGTGCTTTATAAAAGATTCTATTATTAATACAACTACCCATCTTTATTATCCCCACTTTTCAGATGATAAAGCTTAAGCTCTAGAAAAGTGAATTAACTTCCCCAAGATCACACAGGTTCAAGGCAAGCGTCTGAACCCAGCTGACTCCAAGAGTCCAAACTACCTCATAAGAGAAACATTAACGTACATTATCTACAGAGAGCATTAAAAAAAACCAAAACAAACCTACTAAATAAAAATGGACAAAGGATACCAACATGCAATTACATTAACATGCAAATGGCTAACATATATATTAAAAAGTTCAACTCACAAGTAGTTATTATGAGGATTGATAATATCTAGGGTTGCAAAGAATACTAGGAAATGGGTACTCATGCATGCTGTAGAAGTGTATTATTTATACAGCAGTTTGGGGAGGCAATCTGGCATTAAAAAATACAATTTATATGCATTTTCAGCAATTCCTCTTCAAGGATCAATCCCAAAGAAACATTAAACATAAGAGCCACATACAGCTTTTTCTGTAAAACAGAAATACTGGAAAGAACCTAATTGCCCAACCACAGAAAATACTTTAAACAATTCATTGTACATCCATGCCACGGGACGGTACATAAAAAGTAAATTACATGCACTGACATGGAAAAATGATGATGATCTATGGTTAAAGGAGAAAGACGACAAATCAAAGTACACAGATTTCTTTTAACCCATTTGTTACAAAAACAAGGACCTAAGAGAATGATACATGTGAGAAAACAAGAGAGCGGAAACATTTATATGCATATGTTGAAAAAGGCCATTTTTTAAAGGGTTCGAAAGAATACACACCAAAATATGAAGAAAAGATACTCAGGGGAAGAAAGTGGGATCAGGCCCTGGAAGCTGAAGGGGACTTTCACATTTTACCCAATATCCTTCTATCTTGTGTTCACTCTACAATTTTTCTAAAAAGCAAGATATATAAGTTGGTAAAAACAAAACACTAAAAACCAATCACAGAGAATAAAAGAGCAATAATAAGAAAATTACGTATTTAGAACAACTACTGACACCTATAAAGATTCAAAGCAACTGACACAATAATATTTTATTGTTTACATAATGATATGCTCAGGACAGAGTGAAGACATTGGAGACAATGACAACACATTAAACTCCTATCACAAATTGATCTGTTACAAATTTCCAGTGGCTCAACATATTAAAATGTATAAGATATAAAGAACAAAATTAAGAAATATAAATATTCAGATTTTTGCAGCACAATGCAATGTCCTTTAAAAAAAAAAAAGCTTGCTATATTTGGGTATTTAATTCTGACAGTAATTCAAAACACAAAAATCCCACGTTTTCCTACCCTTCCCCAAAATCTGGATCTGGGGATTGCAGTTTTAGAGAAGAATGCAAAAATAAAAACTTCAGTGTTCCAAAACAAAGCATTTTCCTTATTTTTAATGCATCAAGGCGCAAAAGTTTCAATTCCAAAAAGCCAATCACTGCTATATGCGGATAAATAAAACAGATTTAACAACACTTTAGTAATCAAACCCAACTAACATTATACTAAAAATATATGTGTGTGTGTGTGTGTGTGTGTGTGTGTGTGTATGTAATACCTATTTTAGAAAAAAAGGTGCCTTGGTGAAAAGGATTCTGAAAATATTCACTTGATGCACATTATGTACAAAACCTTCTATATAAAAAATTATACTATTTTCAATGAATTCCATGTTCACATCCCATTTGAAAACTGTACTTGAAAGATAAAGTAGGTCTACTTAATGGTTTCTGTGTGAAATCATAGCTAAGGCAGTTCTCTTTCCAAGGGCCTTCTTTTTCACCCACTCGATGTCACTAATACTAATATAGACAAATATTACACAGATGCAATCTGACATGCCTTATGTGTTTTTACCTGGACCTCTGTTCACTGTTAAAATGGGGTAGTTTATAGTTGCTACAAAGAATACTTTTTTCTTAAAATATATTGTTTCTCTATTCCAAATTAAGCACTTACTTAAGACATTAAGAGGCTGATAAACCACTCCATTTGGTGTCAATATCAATAGCCCTATAAGAAAGAACTCTGTACTGGAATAGCTACAAAAGTTTCCACTAAAGTAATAGTGCATCCTTCACCTGCATAGAATCAATTTGGCTTAATAGCTCTTTGCCCCCAGACATCAGTCTGGAGTTCAAATATGCTCTTGAAGGTTCATCTCAGATATGAGAAAACATCTCATACAGGCAAATGTGAGGGTGTATGGGATAATAAAAGTTGTTAAAATCTGTTGGATGATTCTTACAGCACTCCTCATTCAGAGCAGCTGCTATGGAAAAGACTGGGGGGTCAAGTATTTACACCAGTAACCATTTCATTAAGTCTGTAAGTAAATTAAATAACTGCAATGACCTGGTACCTCTAGCTCATCACTCTACAAGCACTGAGGCTTTGAAGCTTAAAAGGTGAAAAATAGAATACCCTTAGAAAAGGGGAACAAGTCTGAGGCAAAAGTTGTAGGTCTGTAAATATATATTTTATGTGAACACACAACTGTGTGTATTATTCTGTATATATTTACATACATATTCACAAGATGCCCTGCAGTGTAGTTCAAAAGGCCTTTACCAAGGAACAAACTGATTCTAGTATAGGACTTAAGAATTCATACCATCTGTATAAGAAACAAATGTGCATATATTCACATCATGTAAACCTTATCAACAAAAACATTGGTATGACACTAGGTTAAATAGGCTTTACTTATCAGTGATGTAATCAGAACATTGCTTACACTGACCATCAAAAAATAACGAAAAATACACAACTGGGTTTCAAATTCACAAGAAAAAAAGATGTTTACCATGGCAAACAAGAACACAGTTCAGATTCCAGAGTAGGGAAAAATATCAAAACTTTATAAATCTCCTGGGATGCAATTTAATTACTGCATCAATTTTAGAAAAATAGACTCATAGAATGAACGACGCTGCTATGAATTCTCTCAACCACATCAACCCATATGTTTATCTTTTTCCTCTTTTGTTTCCAGCTGGAGGTTTCTTCAACTGAAGGAGTTGTCCTCCTGTTCCAAAACCTGCAGAGGCAGGATTGGACACCCCAAATGTCAAACCAGCTGATGCCGTGATGCCAGGATTGCTGAAGTTAAACCCAGATGTACTTGAGCTGCCAAAGCCTTATGTTTAGGGAAGAAAATATTCACATCAGAAGTTAAAACACAAAAACAAATATAAAGAATGGGGACAAGAGGTGAATTTCTAGCTAAAAGAATATATATTTATGAAAATAGCCAATATATTAGAACACTAAATTTGTAACATGGAATTTTATAGGAAAATAATTTAGCTAACTACTAAGAGGCACCTTTAGAGACCTAAGTTTAGTGACCCAAGCCAAGAGAAACCTTAGCACAAATAACTGAACTCTAGAAAACTTCAAGCTGCCGGGTACTTTCCTGTTAATTAGATATGCCATGCTGCCTTCCTTCTCAGCCGCTCCAGAAACATATTGTCAACATGCAGAAGATGGACCCACTCCTGTCATCCTAAGTCCTCCAAGAAGGCCTCAACCCATGATTTTTCAGGACAATGAACACCCCAAAGAGTAGCACCCACTGTTCTGATTTTATAGGAACCCTTGCGTAACTAAGATCAAATGCTATCACTGCCTACTTTATTAATAGTACCGTATTTAGATTATAATCCCCGTATCACTGAATTCTATTATCTTACTCTTTGGGAACTGTTGACTTTAAATACCACTTAATATTAAATGAAGTTGCCTTAAAATTCCCTCAATTTAAACACAGTAAGTATTGTGTCATTATTTTAGACATGCTACTTATCCCTAAACATTATAAACGAAGCCATTATTTACAAATATAGAGAAAATGGAGACGAAATTTGGGATTTTCTACTAGAGGAGTCAAAAGATTACATACCTATTTCAAAAATGAACAAAGAACCCAATTAATCATCCATTATAAGAGTGGGACTTTTAAAACCAAAGGGACTTGCAACTAAAGAACATCTCTTTGGGAGAGAAATCATTCTCCTAAACAAACAAACACTGGGTCAAAGCTTTCACAACAATGGGACCATTTTTGTAATAATGAAGAGACTTGTTTAACCATAAAACTAGTCTTTGGGTTCAAAAGAATCTCTACTTATTGGGGCGCCTGGGTGGTGCAGTCGGTTAAGCGTCCGACTTCAGCCAGGTCACGATCTCGCGATCTGTGGGTTCGAGCCCCGCGTCAGGCTCTGGGCTGATGGCTCAGAGCCTGGAGCCTGTTTCCGATTCTGTGTCTCCCTCTCTCTCTGCCCCTCCCCCGTTCATGCTCTGTCTCTCTCTGTCCCAAAAATAAATAAACGTTGAGAAAAAAAAAAATTTTTCAAAAGAATCTCTACTTAGTTAAAAGAGGATATAATTACTTATTATCTCAAACTAATAAGTCTTGTTAGAGATATTTCACAAACCTGACTTTTAGTTTCCAAGAGAGATAAAACTGTATGATTAGTTAGGCTTACATGCTTCATTGTGGGGGGTAGAAACTGAATCAGGGATTGCTTCTGGTTACTGGAAATAACAATCATTATACTTTTAAATTACATAATTTGCATCTTTAAATTTGCCTGAAATTCAGGCCAAAAACACACAAACCTGCACTAAGACTTCCTGAGGGTTTATTTGTTGTTCCAAATCCAAATGTGGAGGCCCCTGTGGTGCTGCATCCAAAACCAGAGCTAGCTCCAAATCCTAGTGAAAGGGTAATAGAGAAATATACAATGGTACGTAAAACAGAGATTAAAGGTTACTGACAAGTAAAACCTACAATTATCAGAGGTCTAATAAACACAGTGCTATTACACAAACCTGCTATTTACTCTTGTGCATCAGACTTCTGAAGAATCAGATTAATTCTGAAATGAACACTTTGATCTATTGAGACTAAGTTTAAGACCCATCAGTAATTTTTATACAGAACAAGCTATAAAGAACAAGATCGTATTAGTATTTTCTCTCCCAGATTGACTAGAAATTTTAGTGACCACTGAAATATGGTGTTAGGTCAAACAGATATAAACACATCTACTTAGGGATATTTCATTTTGGGAAAAAAAAAAAAACTAAATTCATAAGTAAGCGTGACATGCACAAGAACTTAAACACCAAGTACCATAAGACAACTTTTACTCTGCTTTTTACCAAAACCTTTTCACTTAAGAACCTTCACCATTGAAAAACTGCATAATTACAAAACAGTTAATCACATTAAATCTACTCAGCAACACAGGCTCCTGCCACATACCAGCCGATTTGACAATTGAGAAATTTCGAGTGGGAGATCATTTTTCTTTCTTAATAGTACTAGTCATGATTTAAATAAAAAAATATTTTTCGTCATATGAAGTTCAAGAAGAGATTCTGCTAAGTACTTAAAGACTTGTTTCCATTCTCCTCAAAGTCAAGTGATCTAAAAATAAAATTCAAATTCTTCTTAGGCTACTCTGCAATAGTCTATCTAAAATAAGGAGTCTGAGACAGTATTATAGCCTATGACGCTAAGAAGTATGAGGGCAAACTGAATTATAGATTATAGGAAATATGCTGTCTACTATAATTCTAGTAATTCCAATAGAGTTTACTATATTAAGTAACCTTGATTGCTCACAGACTTCCACTCTTACGATGATATATTTTAGTGGAAATAATATATTCATTATATGACAATATGCTTGTCAAAATACATTCTACTGTCAAATACCCATACCACAGAACTGTGAATACGTTTATATGTAGCATGATGATTGGCAGAAGACTTACCTTACTAGAGTTAACTTATAAAACTATTAACTGTTATGTATACAAGTACGTACAAAGGCAGCTATGCCAAAAATGCTTAGCAAAAGACAGAAGCTGAACTGTCCAATTTATAATAAAATTATTTTCTCATCTAAAGTGTTCATTTACAGAAAAAGAAGATAATGATTAGATGTCCAGAAGCAGTTTGGACTCTAAAATGATGTGATTAAGACTACTGGTTTTTTAAGTTAAATTTATTAAAACTAAGTAACTTGCAAGTTCATATTTTAGCATATTGCTTTGAAAATATGAACATCCCTACCAATTAATTTTACTATTCTTTTTTTATTTACTATTCACTGAAGATGAAATGATTTAAGTTCTAATTCTAATACTAAAAAGCACTGATTATGTTTGGAGAGCTGTTTTTGTCAGATGGAACCTTGACTACCAAAATAGCAGACGCTCTTAGAAATTTTTTACAGACTAGTATCAATTCAAATGTATAATAGTCCAAGGCAATATTAGAAAAGTTAAAGTGTACCTCCAAGGTTTGAAGAACCTAAGCCACTTGACTGCAAGCCAGTGCCAATACCTGAGCCGAATGGTGTTCCAAAACTAACTCCCAGAGATGGCTGTGGCCCTGGTATAAAAAAAAAAAAAAAAAAAAAAAAAAATGGGGGGGAAAAAAAACAAATTTGCCTTACTCTTTCAAGATTAAAATTTCTTTATGAAATTATTTTTAAAATAAACAGTGATTAATTTTAACAAATTCTATTTGCTAAAAGCCAGTTTTCAGGTATCTCCCCAGCCTGATTTACCTAACCAAAAAAAAAGTTTTTAAGTAACTTGTTCACACTAGACAATTAAAAGAGGCTTAGCACATCGAAAGATGTTATTTTAACCTACTAAATAATTTGAAATCTTTAATGTATTGTAAATTATAGTTCTTTTGGTTTTCTTTCTAAAATGATTTTAGATCTCCCCACTTGTTTTCTGATAAAATTAGTTGGTGTAATCAGTAAAAGGTTTTTACTTTTTTTTTTTAAAACAAGCTCCTCATCGTTAGAGTCAAGTCTCAACTGATCAGAGACTGACGCTAACGTGGCAAAACTATCATGTTACTTCATAAGAGTAAGTACCCAAAAAACTAGGCATTTTTTATATGAAATATAAATGATATATACAATAAGTAGATAAAAAACAAGACAATGTTTTATTTCATTAAATTTATTGTTCATTTTAAAGCAAATCAATTACACAGTAACATGACAATTCCAACTTGTTCACAAAAAGTGATAATTGAGTCTATTATTAAGCTCTGCTACATTACACCACTTATCACCTGATTAAATAAGATAATGAACATTTACAAAGGCACCGCTGTGTACCTTGACAGATTCAATACATTCAAGATTTCAATTCAGAAGTTTCTTTCCAACATTTTGGAAAATGTACTCAGATGCAGAACAATTATTAGTCATCCTTTTCCCATTCATTAAAGATTTTGTCTGAGTCTGTTTGGCAAGAATAGCATCAAACTTACTAGCCTCTCTTTTTTTAACTACTTTTTCTTTAACTAAGCAGAATACAAAAATCTAAAAATCTCTCATTTGATAAATAATTTATGAAAATTATTCAATAAATCTCATAGTACAATCTTCAGTCTTGTCTTTTTCAAGCACAGTGATCAGTGCATCTCAAAGTTGAGGGAACTGCCAAAGTAATATACAGATTGAAATTTAAACTCTTCAAAAAAAATCAAAGCCTTCAAGTTGTTCAATGAAGAATGAGGTTTGTATATTCAAAAGGTAGTGTACAATTACAAAGCATTAAAAAAAAGAAAAAGAAAAAGAAAAAGAAAACCGAGGAACTATATTTTGCTACCCTAGGACAGAAACTGGACTTTTCAAATAGCTTCTACCCAGAAAATAAAAAGTAAGAACTAACAGCAGCCAGAGTTCTTATACTACTATTAAAAAATAAATTAAAAAAGGATTTAAATTTTTACATCCAGTTTGAGATCAATTTGAGAATAAAATACCTGCCTAGCAGCTCTTTTGTAAAATGTTACTATAGGAAAAAGAAACTAAACATATTACTTTCTTATTTCTAACAAAAATAATACGTAGAAAACACACGTCCAGTTTCTTTAACACTGAGAGACTTAAGTGTCACATGTTTATAGGAGGCACTGCTGGTGGAAGGCCCTAAAGAACAACGCACACCACAGCCCTCAACCCTACAAGTCTGTTAAGAGTTACTCAAATAACATGCTTTTTGTTGTGTGTGGGTCTGTTTTTAAGAGTAACCCTAATCATCAATATTCAGAATATAGGTAATCAAGAACTCTGACAACGACAAGACTTTCCATTGCACAACAGGTACATGATACTTTGAGTTTTGTACCTTCACACAAATTCTGAAGGCAACATCATTTATAAAACTAGTAGGCAAATGTATAACATTTTTTAATATTAAAAACATGATAAATATCTCCCACGCCAAAGTATTACCATATATTACACTCTGGCCACCATATAAATTAGTTTCACTATTAGAAAGCAGAATCTAAATCCTTCAGGCAAAAGTCACGTAAACAATTCAAGAAATCTGTTTCAAAATCTGAATAGTCATTCAATGAGAGGCTTAGTTCCATAAATAAAACCAAGTTAGTAGTAATATATCCCAATAATTGCCCAAAGTGAAATCTTCACGTAGAGTAACATTTTACAAAAGTTACCGGATAACATATTCACACACAACAAAATCAAGTTCAGCACTGTAATTCATATTTTCCAGAATAAATTCTACTTTCTTAAAAGTAAAACTGCATTCACAGGAAAAGGACTAAAGTGCTAAAATTTTTTAATAATTTTCAATAATTACTCAAAATATCTAATGTAATTAGTATGATTATTCCTAGGTCATATTTTAAAAATAATTTTCCTGAAAAACAAAAAATGCCTTTTCCCCCAATTTGAAAAATTTTACTTACTGATTTAACGGGGAATGTTCCTTTGGTTGTTAAACACAACAAAACCAGAAAACTACAAGAAACTAAAATGAAATACTTAACGTTTCCTATTTAACACTACATCTTAAATGTCCAAACCTACACTAAAAGCTAGAAATTAGGAACTCTAACAAAATGTCTCAGCTCTCCTTAAAAATAGCAGCTAAGTCACATGAGAATAGTCTTATGTAAACATCAAGAACTTTTTTAAAAGTGTCAAAACACAACAGCAAAACTTAATCCCAGTACGTTAGCTTAGAACAATCTATGCTAGGTTAAAATTATATTGGTAATCCTAATGTAAAATGTCTTAAGCTTTTTAAGAGGCTTCAAAAGCACTGATGGACAAGTGTACTCAAGATCTACTTATATGTAATTTATCCATGTACTGATGCTTATTTCACACATAATTAGCCCGCTGGTTTTCGTCAGTTTTCTTCAGCCTTCAGAAACAATAACCATAAATCACGCAGGCCTAAGACCTATTATATTTTTTTCACTTAAAAACACCAAACTTAAGAAGTCACTTAAACCCATACCTCCACCTCCAAGAGAAACCACCTTCAGAAGGTGGCAGCCTAAGAAAGCTGTCTGCATTTTTTATATTAATGAAGAATCCATATGCAACTAAAAGCAAAATCCCTGACAATTCAAATCTTGCACACATCAACAGTGATATATAAAAACAGCACACAAGCCTTACCTAACTGAATCTAGATGGTCTTTAAAATTATTTGCACTTAAAAAGCAAAAGATATCCTCAAAGTCACAGGACATAAAAATTAAGTCACCGAGTGAATACAAAGCACAATATTTCTCAACAGGCTGTAACTCATCAAATCGGTCTGTATCTAGGAGACCTCATCCATCTCGCTGCAGTGGTGACAGGACTGAAATAACGAACATTCTGACTACAAGACGCATAAAGGAATGCACTAACTATATGGAGCTGGGAAGGCCTTCAAGAAACAGAAGACATAAAGCAAAATTTTTATTACTACTGTTTTAAACTTCTCAGTTCTAAAAATCACACAACTCAAAATGTAAACGGGGAAGCCCTCATACAGGCTTCACAACTGCAGGGGGCTGCAGCTGCCCTGAAGCCTGGCAAAAGTCACAGAGGAAATTAAATGAGCAAAGGCTCCGCAAGATGATTACTCTAAATTAAGCCAACATTCTCCATCACCACGGAGAGCAAACATCATACTCAGCTCATTGTTTACCTTTGTACCCTCGGAGCCTAGCACATAGTAGGCACTCATATTTGTAGAATGAACATACATCTTCATATGTCCATGAGCATAAAATGTATGAGTGAAAACCTACACACCTCTCAAGACTGTCTACATAAAGGAATTAAAAAACAAAAACTAAAACCAAAAAAAACCCAAAACACAAAATGTAACAACCCTGACAAGTGGTTTTGCTTCAAATTTAGCTGTATACCACAGAATATAAAATTCACTTATCCCATGACATTTTAAATAACTGACTTTTTTATTTTATTTATTAAAATGGAAATCCTTTATGTTTTAAAGGACACTTAACCAAAACCCATGCTTATCTGATCTTTTTTAGGATTAATATTGGCTCTGAAAGGTAAGTTGGTACTATGTTGGCTTGATTAGCTGGTTAAATAATCATGAGACTGATAATCATAATTATGGGACTGATTCCTATACTGAATCAGTATGACTATCAAGTCAGTATAGGAATCCGTTCCATAATGACTTTTTTCCTCCACAACTCGAGAATGGAATCCTACACTCCAGCCAGCTAGAGAACTAGTAGATAGCGCCACTATGAGCCACTATTCACATGGGTCCAGCCACGGAATGCGGAGGATTTGGCATAAACCAATCACCAGCCATTCACTGATGGGAAGTCAATTCTGTCATCTCCAAATGTGAAGAACAATTTTTAAACCGCCAATAGTGAAAACCAGAGAATGTTTCCCTAGTAGAGGCAGCCTGAATGCAATCTAGATATGTCTGTTTTTTTCGTTTTTTTTTTTTTGTTTTTTTTTTTTTTTTTTTTACTTTTTGTAATTTACTCTTGGACTATATGGAACTCTCACAAAGACACATGCTATAGGATAATAATAAGCATTACTCAAAAATTTCTGAATGAATAAAAAAAAATCAATATCCATTAAGACTATATTTTCTCTGTCATACTTCAAGCCTGACAAAAAGGAGACTGTAGGAGTAAAGATAACAATCTCCCAAAGACACAGGACCAAACTCCACACTGCAGAACTAGACCACAAAAAATGTTTCTTTTGTCAGAAGTGGAATTAAACTAAGGACTCAAATTATCTGCTTTCTAGTATCTCACCAATTATTTTCATCATCTGCCCAGCTTTCCCAGTTCATACTTCTTAATGTACAATCCAGAGCATCTCAAAACATCTTTTTCCTGCTCCTGCTACTGTTCTGTTCATTCTGAAAAGGTACAAATAATTCTAGCATGTACTTTCATCCAAATTTGGTTAAAAGAACCTGTACTGTTTGTAGTCATTATACATAAAAACAACCAACTGATCTTCAACACACCTTCAGTCATAAAAATGTACTTCATCCTAAATGTGGGTACTCTGTAATCACTATGTATGAGGAAACAAGAATGCACCATCTATCAGTATCATATATGAGAAATGCTATAATGGCTGAATTAGCTTTGACTGTAAAACAATAAATGATACAATCACGATTTTAGAACGTGTTATTCTTAAATGTAATTCGGTAGTGAAACACCAAGTTCTAAAGGGTATTTATAGCAATACAGCAAATAACATTAAGTAATTCACAATATTCAGTATCTAACTGATGAATAATTATTGCTAAGACTACCCTGCATTTTTTATCAGGTATATGTTTATAATTGTGTCCATCATAATTTTTAGATTATACTGGAATAGCTACTCATAGAAATTTTTCAGTGCTAACACAAAAGGAAGACTTATAAAAATGCACATAAATGTTCTGCATTTTAACAGTAAGAAGCTATAACTTGAATGCATTCAGACCTGTAGCAGGCTGTTGCTGCTGTGTAAGAGTTGCAGCCATGGCAACGGCTGCCGCGTTTGGCATGTTGCTGAAAGGGGTGGGTCCAGTAGTAACTCTGGGTGCGTTCTGCCACTTCTTGGCTTCTGCTCGCCTGGCTTCAAACACATCTACAGCATCTCCCAAGAACATTTTCCTGTAGCCAAGGTACTGTTCTTTTAGCACCTAAGGGAAAGAAAAAAGAAAAGGTTAATCAATCAAGTTCTGTGTTGAATCTGGTAATACGGGAATAATCTAAGTAGGAAATAAGAAGATCAAAGACATTGCCAATGCTATACATTCCCCCTAAAGCGCAAATCAAAGTGCTATTAATGCATGGAATGTGAAGTGATGCATGCAAGCTCTAACGCTCTCTTGAGTATTTTCTTCCCTAATTTTGTCATGTCTTTACAATAAACTGCCTAAAACATTCTGGCTCCATGAGGCCTCTTTAAAACGAGTTAGCTAGTAACATCTAAAATTCCATTTTCAATATTCTAGTTTTTCACGATTGCTGCCCCCTCCAACATCCAACCTCTTGATAACTTTTAGATGCAAAAAGCTGAAAACATGTACTACATATGTATGTGCTAAATGCCTTCTTTAAAAGGCCTGGGTGACACGTGTTAAAATAAGTGACTTCAGCAGAGACAGCTTGGAGAGTTTAAAAAGGGTTTTCACTTTATCAATATTGTTTGACTATTTTACCATGAGAATGACTCATGTTGAACTTGCATAACCAAACGAGGAGGGGGAGTGAGTTTATAATTTCAGAGTAAGAAAGAAAAATTACCACGTTCATCAAGTGGGCTCGTTCACCCAATGCAGCATCTGCCTTGATTAAGGCCATGAACTCACATCAGAATTATCAGATACTTTCATTAAGGGTTTAATCAAATTTTGATCAGTTTTAAACAACTTTTTAAAAAGATATAGGTGGGGCGCCTGGGTGGCGCAGTCGGTTAAGCGTCCAACTTCAGCCAGGTCACGATCTCGCGGTCCGTGAGTTCGAGCCCCGCGTCAGGCTCTGGGCTGATGGCTCGGAGCCTGGAGCCTGTTTCCGATTCTGTGTCTCCCTCTCTCTCTGCCCCTCCCCCGTTCATGCTCTGTCTCTCTGTGTCCCAAAAATAAATAAAAACGTTGAAAAAAAAATTTTTTTTAAATAAAAATAAAAAATAAAAAGATACAGGATTTTCAGATTTCCTACCATTCTCAGCAGTAATGTCTTTTTGGTCTTAACAGGTAGAACACTTAGCAATCTTACTGCTATTTATGGTATTTAAAAGTTATCATCCCCTTTTGTGTGGATGTCAGTATTTGATGTTCTGGTTCCAGACTTTCCTACCTCTTTAATGTACTGAAGCAGGCCTGCCAAGAACTGAAAACTGGGGAAAATGCAGTCAGAAGTAGAGTATGTGATGTCAGAAGAATGAGTTTTATTAGAAGTGATCTCCCCCTAATCCACCCTCTTCTCTCTGTGTAATTATATGAATATAGCCATACAATGTTTGGCATTAGTAGTCCATCAATTTGTTCTGCTTCAGATACTGGAAAGTAATCACCTGCCTTAGAGACTTGAAAGACAATTGGTTTAAGGAGAGAAAAGAAAGAACAGCTACCAGCCTTGATTTATATAGTTAATTGATAAAATGTCCAGTTTTGTTAATGTCCTTGGGGCCTGGCTGGCTCAGGTAGTTTAAACCTGCTTCAGCAGATTATCTCATGAAAAACAATACAAAAGGAACAAAAATTAAAAAACGACCTCCTGTGAGATTTCTGTAAGTAAATGAAGCTAGAAATTATACTTTGGTCACTAAATGCAACTGAAAATAAATGGCAAATCTGATCATGGAACATTCTTTGGTTCCTGGGAATGTATATCACAATGTACATTACTAAAAAACAAAAGAAAAGAAAAAAAGAAAGAGAGAGAGAGAGAGAGAGAGAGAGAGAGAGAGAAAGAAAGAAAGAAAGAAAGAAAGAAAGAAAGAAACAAAGAAAGAAAGAAAGAAAAAGAAATAAGAATACCAGAGAGGAGAAACTGCCATTGAAAAAGCATGTATACTTACAAATGACATGTCTGGAATTTGCTTTAAAATGTTCCAGGGGGACAAAGCATCCCTGGGTGGGAAACTGACAAAGCAAGGCAGGATCCTGATAATGGGTGAAGCGGAGAGTGGGTACCTGGCATTCATTACAACAGTGCCCTTCTTTTCGTGTGTCTATTTGAAAACTTTCATAATAAAAATTAAGGAAAAAAAAAAAAACTGTACAACACAGACTTCAAAGTACCAACAGAGAATCATCTTTAGTACTTTAATAAACTAATTTCAAGAAAATTCGATAAAAGTTCCTCCTTTAAAACTATTTTAAAAATCTGGTTTAGAATTTTAAATATATTAAAGCAAAAGCTCCAAAGCATGCTCATTTCAAAACTGGTATAATTTATGGGGCGCCTGGGTAGCTCAGTTAGTTAAGCATCCAACTTTGGCTCAGGTCATGATCTTGCAGTTCATGGGTTTGAGCCCCACATTGGGCTCTGTGCTGACAGCTCGGAGCCTGGAGCCTGTTTCAGATTCTTTGTCTCCCTCTTTCTCAGCCCTTCCCCCTGCTAACACTGTCTCTGTTTCTCTCTCTCTCTCTCTCAAATAAACATTAAAAATAAAATAAAAAAAAAAAATAAGACCTATGTAAAATTAAAGCAGTACAAAATACTTTTGCTACTAAGAATGTTTCTTTTCTGTAGTGCTGCTCCTAGTTTAAAGACATGGAAACAACCTAACTGTCCAACAAATAGGATGCGTTAAGGAAACTACGCATATACACATATATATATATATATATATACACATATATATATACACACACTGAAATCCTATGTAACTACTAAAAATGATATTGAAGAAATATGTATATCAACACAGAAAATTGTTTACAATATACTACTGAAAAAAGTTAAGATAGCTGATTGCATAGAACACTTGGATCTTTTTGAAAAACCAACAGATATTATCTGTGATTGTATCTGAGCATGAATGTGGATTGTTTTAGTTTTAGTCTTCTTCACTTATATGTAATTTTAGCTATTCCTATAATTAGCATGAATGCTTCTGCTCTGCAAATGAATACTTCACTTGGGTCTAGACATACAGATACATGAACTGGTAATGAAAACTTACCTTTACATTTTCATGAATAGACTGAAGTTGTGCAGCTAAAGCTACAAATGTTTGATAAATTTTCTGCATAGCCATTGACAAATCTATAAAAGAAAGTTACAGTATCACACAAATATACATGTAACATAATCAGTATTATTTTTCTATGACTTGAGTGCAGTTTTTGGTACTAAAAGTGTAGGAGGCACAAGATCACATCAATATTTCCATGACTGAGAGAAGAGAGCACAGCGAGTTGACTGAGAGCAGGGTGTCTGAATCAGTCATCAGGGGAGGGGAGAAGGCCCTGAAACTTCTGCCTTGGTCAGCATAATAACAGTTCATAATAAAGCATTTTCTATTTATGGAGAATAAATATCTAATAGCAAGGAAATTGTATAGCAGCTCAAGACAACTACTAGCAGTTATGTAGAATATTATGTGACAACACCTTAACCTCTCTCTCTTACTAAAAAACAGTGCTATCAAAAAAAAAAAAAAAAATCACCACAGAAAGCATGTTACCTTGAGGGGTTATATGTGAGTTATTTGCTTGTGTGGCAAGATGGTTTTCTAGCTCTTCAATCTGCTGTCTGTACTGCTGAAGCTGTACCTCAAACTGCTGAACCAAGATTCTGAAGTAGCTATACAAAAACATTTACAAAGTCAGATCAAAGTTTTAAAAATGCTATTTTCTTTGCATTAAAATAACCAGTAAATAAATATATGCCCCCATTTAAGTAGGGCCTTTGACTTAGTCTGAGGACATAAGGATATGGCATAGATATTACTGAAACCAGAACCAAAACTTGTGAGTTATCAAGGTATCAAAAATAGATCATGAGATTACTCCAATCATGATTGGAGTAATAGATTACTCCATCATAGATTACTCCAATCATGAAATATCCCAATTAAGAGACAATCTACAAAATAACTTTCTATGCTTTAAAAGTATCAACGTTATGAAAGACAAAGACTGAATAACTGTTACAGACTGGGAGAGATGAAGGAGAAATGAATGAATGAGAAGTGAATGGGAACCTGGAATAGAAAAAGTACATTAGTGGAAAACAGGATACTGGAAGAAAAAAATGCACATTAGTGGAAAAGTCAGTAAAATTCAAATAAGTTCTGTTGCTTGATTAGTAACACCACACCTATGTTAATTTCCTGTTCTCGATAATTATACTGTGGTTACACAGTATTTTAACATTAAGGGAAGAAAGGTAAGGGATATAAGGAAATTCTCTGTACTATCATTTTTGGAAATTTTCTGTAAGTCTAAATAAGTTCAAAAAAGTTTTTTAAAAAGTGCAACTGTCAACCAGATTTTACAAGTACTTACAGTTCTTATATTTATAATCTGAAAACACTATAGTGTCCACGGAAAGCATGTAATTACTGCTACTATGCTGCTAAATTTAACCAGAGAATGCCAGATAAATAAAAGGGACCTTGAATAGTATACAAAGCGTGCTGTATGTAATTCTGTAAGAAATGGGCAACTACGAAAGCTTTTTGCAATGGAAAATGATACAATTCACCCCATTTCAAAACCAGCTCTGATGGCAGCATGAAGAATAAGAAGGATAAACTACTAGAAGTCCAGTGAGGAACACAGCCCATGCTAATCTGAATAAGATAATCAGAGTATCACTGTCCTTGTTAACATGTCCTGATTTTGATCATTGAACTGTGGTTATGTAACAGAATGTTCTTACGTTTAAGCAATACACACTGAAGTACTTTAGCATAATGGGCATCTGTCTGCAAAGAACTCAAACTGTTCAGGGGGAAAATATGTATATATATTAGAGAGAGCAGGGAACAAAACAAACATAGTAAAAATATTAACATATAAGGAATCTCGATAAAAGACACATGGGAATTCTTTGTTTCCTTCTTGAACTCTTCTCTAAGTCTGAAATTATGTCACCATCAAAAGTTAAAAGAAAAAAGGGGTGAGAAACTAGGAGTCAGACCTCCACCACTCCTCATGCCTCGGGCCCCTCATCTCGAAGACTGGGATAGTGACAGCTGTAGAGGTTTTGTGGAAAATGAGATAAAGTATGTCAAGTGCTAAGTGCACTGCTTGGCCTATGGTAAGCATCTGATAAATATTAGCTATCATTAGCTCTAGCAACATGAAAGAATATAAAGAGACAAGATAGATATCACTCGGCAACTAGACAGACACACCTCCTGGGTGAGAAGATTGCAGGTGGATGTTTTTTATTTTAACTTATCTACATTTTCTAACTGCTCTTTCTGATGATTTATTATCTGTGTGAATAAAGCTATGCAAACAAGTAAAAGGGTTAAACTACTTCTAGAACGCCCTGTTTAAGGAAGGGATTATCATAAAATTATTTTTAAATTAAAAAGTCCTTGTTGGTAAAAATATCTACTACCCGCAATATTTAATACAGTGGAAAAGGCCATAACATACAAATAAAGTGTAACTGCATAACACTGGTTAAAAGCTCAGATCTTAGCCATCACTTACCCTTCGATAAAATGAAGATAATGGACTGCCTTCTTAGGGTTATTGTGAGAATTAAAAGGAGAAATCCATGTCAAGTGCTTATTAACCCAGGCTTGCTACATAGTAAACTACAAATTCTTGGCCTATATATTGTACTGTTTTGCTTTCCTAAAGTGAGAAAATCCAGTAACTTACTCGGCGGGAGCTGTGTTTTCATGTTGGAGTCCAGGTGGTGTTTTCTGGGTTCTTAACGCTATTTCAGCATTCTTTAACTCCTAATAGATCAGAGGGAGGGAAAGAAAGAAAGACAGAAAGACAGAAAGAAAGATTAACCAGTTAAAAGCCAGGTTAAAAATACCAATGATCTCTGGACTGAAACTTCAAACAATGCCACTCTCATGCTCCGAGAACACGTCACGTTTAACCTGTTTTACAAGTTGCCAAAACCTCTTTCCAAAGTATACTTTTAATGAAGGTTATGATAAATTTATAATGAGCTGCTATGTATTTTAAGAACTATGGACTTCTATACAATCTGTGAAGTTAATTCATCCACAGCAAAAGACTCTGCTATTATTTAAAAATCTTTAAGGGGCACCTAGGTGGCTCAGTCTGTTAAACATCCAACTCTTGATTTTGGCTCAGGTCATGATCTCATGAACCATGAGATCAAGCCTCACATCCAGCTCTGGGCTGACCGTGCAGAACCTGCTTGGGATTCTCTCTCTTTCTGCCCCTCCCCTCCTCGTGCAAACATGCACACTCTTTCTCTCAAAATAAATAAACATTTTTTAAAAAGTGCCCTCTTGAGGCCTTTGTGCCTCAGTCATACCTTGTACCTAGAACATAGTACCGAACTGACTTAATTCACTCTCACTAGTATATCATATGTATTTTAATCCCAACACTTCTGCTGAAGTGGTAAAACAGATCCTTAAAAAGGTTCACTGACTCCACGGACTCAATGATATAACCGCAACAAAGCATTTGGCACCTACCCTACCCAAAAAGAAGTTTAACTACACTTCTTGTTTAAACTCTTGAGTTATGTACCCCCCAAAATGAAGTATTTAAAAGACTTTGCTTCCACAAGGTTCTGGTGTTTCCAACCACAACGCTGCTCCTCACCTCAAAATTGCTTATTTCCCCAAAAGGCTTTCTTTGAAGAAAAGCGTTTGGGGTTAAAGATTGAGAACTACTTCACTAAGGGAATCAGAATATTTTTTCAATAGATAATTCACTGAAGTGTGGGTAGAGCACTAACTGCCGTAAATTAGAAATAAAATAAGTTTAGATCAAATTTCTTTGATATCACCTACAAAATTTTCTAAACCCAACTTAGAGGACTTTAGCCCTAAGGAAGCTTTCTTTGATTCATCCTCTTCTTCATTTGCCACCTTTATATTCTACCCAAACTTTCATTATTTCATTTGCTCTTTTAGTCTTTTAGTGCCTTTCGGGTTGTGTTTTTATCTCTGAAAGACTATTAGCAAGTCTAGTACATAAAAAGTATTCCAAATATTTATGAATAGAATCATCTGGTACTAAAGTCACAACAGATCCCATTATAGCATTCACCTCTTTCTGAGTTGCCTCCTCTATTACTGTGTTAATGAAATTTTCCATAGAATTTATACAATTTCATACATTTCACATATGAAATTTGTGACTTCATGTAATATTTAATCAGAGTCTAATCATTCTCCACCAGAAGCATAACATTTTCTTTCTCCTAGATATGACATATACATACATATATATGTGTATACATACATATATATGTGTATACACACACACACACACACACACACACACACACACACACACACGAGGAATAAGAGAAAAAGAAACATGGGAGAATATTTTATTTGTATTTAACCAATGTGTGTAGGCAACCAGGAAATCTGAAAGCAGACAACAAAGGCTTTGAATTCCTTTTAAACATCATAGTTTAGAATAGCTACTTTAGTAACACATTTTCATTAAAAATATCACGAAAGTATTCTCCAATAATTGACTTAAAGACTTAAAGGTAAGCACACACAAATTTCTAATTTTAAAATAAATAAGACCGGGGAATGTAATGTACAGCATGGTGACTACAGTAATAATAATGTATTCTATATCTGCAAGTTGCTAAGAGAGTGGATCTTAAAAATTCTCATCTCAAGGGGGAAAGGTTTTTAGCTAAGCATGGTGGTAGATGTTAACTAGATTTGTTATGGCCATTTTGCAATAAAAATAAATACTGAATCATTATGTTGCACAGCTGAAACTAATGTAGTGTTATAGGTCGATCATATTTCAAACAAAAAAAGACATATAAGCAACTTTAATATTTTTACTTAAAATATAAAAATCATCTACCATCATTCTTCCCCACCAAAATAGATAAGAACGATATATATATATACACACACAAAGTATGTATTTTTGTATATATTTAATATTTACAAAGCATGATAGAGTTTTTATTTAATCACTGACAGACTTTTAAAAAACATTTTTCTGTCTAGCTTGTATAATGCAGCAACTTAGCCAGTGGTCACTCTTAGAAAGCACACTAGTCAGGAGCATCAACTCTAGAGTTGGATTACTGGGGTCAGAAACCAAGCTCTTCCATTTATTAACAAAGCTCTCTGCCCACTGTCTTATTTATATAAGGAAGATAAGAGTGCCTACCTCACAGAGCTGTCATGAAAACTAAACCGGACTAATAAACTGCTTAAAAAACCGCCTCATATGGGGCACCTGGGTGGCTCCGTTGGTTAAGCATCTGACTTTGGCTCAGATCATGATCTCATGGTTCATGGGTTCAAGCCCCGCATCGGGCTCCACACTGTGTAGAGCCTGCTAGGGATTCTCTCGCTCCCTCTCTCTCTGCCGCTCCCCTCCTCGTGCTGTCTCTCTCAATAATAAAAACTAAAAAACAAAAAAACACTGCCTCACACACAGTAAGCACTCAATACGAACTAGCAACCATTATTATTACAGCAATTTAAAACTGTACAAGCTATATGTAGTAAATCCTGATTTTATAAAAGACTGATTTCATTTGAAAAACACATGGCAAAACAAAACCCTACGGTAAAACGACTGTAAGTTCATTTACCTGAGCAGTTTCTATTTTCAACTTGTCAATATTGAGAGTGTTTCTCTGTAACCCACTGGCAGCTAGTGACAGAAGTTGCTTCAGAGCTTTAATGTCTTCTTGTACTTTAAGCATTGCTTTTGAAGACATTCTACTAATTTCTTCTTGTACCTGTTTCTGTTCCTTCACAAATTTCCTAAAAAGATACATAAAACTAAGTTGAAAAAAAAATACACCTTTGGTTTCTTATAGGAAAAAAGTACCCTTACAACAGGCTGGCCAGAGTCCTAGTGTTTTAAGAAGGAAATATTAAAAATTCAACTACAGTTCACATTCTTTTTTGAGAATGACAGTTAACAAAAATGTAAGTCCTGTTCTGCTTTGTCTGTAGTTTCTAAAAACATTAAAATTTTTACCCAAGTTAAAACGTTTAAGAGAAAGAGATGTTCCCCCTAAAATATATGCTAGCATTCTTCAAAATGACTTATCGAATTATGTTTGACACACTTACTGGAGATTTTCAACATCCTGGCAGATGACAGGAGGTAGATTTTCATCCTTCAGTGCTTTACTGTCCCTAAGAAAAATGCCACAGATGTATTAAAGCCATTGAGGTAATAAAAAGCTGACGGCTGAGTTCCACCAGAGTATGTTAAGAGAGAAGCAAATAAGGCAAATACTCCCCATTTATACATTTCATGAATGATTTCAAAGCTCTTTATAAACAACTATAAATTTCTTGACCTTTAAAATAACTTTAACAATTCACCTGACATAGAGAGATCTTTTCTAAAAAGACTGGCACCTATTATAAGTAAACATAAATGCATTTGACTAAATGTTTAAGAAAAAAATTTAGAAAATACAACAGATTAAATATTGAACTAAGTTCCCCTGGCTCAAAAATTCTACTACTGTCATTTCATTCAGTTAAAAATATTAAAAAATTCTTTAAAGAGTCTACAAAACTTCTCATGAGAGGCTCCAAATATTTTACTTTATTTTATAATTTCAATTTGTTTTTCAATAAAATAAGACCTAGGAATAGCTTAAGGAAATCATACATGTGTAATGAGGATAGGAATAAGTGAAATTTGGCATGCCATAATGTAATTACCAGTTAAATTTCAGTCACAGATTTGCTACTAACTCCTTGCCATAACCTCTAGGCAAATCTCAGTCTCTTTCAGCTTCCTATTTATGTAATAGGGCTAAAATATACACAAGATGTTTTAGAGGCATGAACTTGATCATTTATTTACAAATGTTTTATTTAATGTAAAAAGGAGGTGAGAAAATACAAGTGGTAGTAAAAATAATGATCTTCGAACATATGATGCATATGGAGGCTCTTCTCCCTCTTCATCATCATAAAATAAATGGTACTGGTGTAGTAACTTACATATAAAAGGTATGTTTAGATATAAAATTGGGCATAAAGCGTTCTAGAAAGAATTGGTTATATGTTTTCCAAATGATTAAAACTTGAAGATTTGACCATCCCATAATCTTTCCAGAGCATAGGTTTATTATTTATTTTTGACAAAAACTGATTTAAAGAATTTTTCTTCTAAATGCCTATATGGTTTCATTTACTTCCAACCATACCATCTGCCTACTATTTAATAAATAAAACTCAATTAAAATATTTTAAAAGTTAGACTGTAAACTTACTCTGGTCTTGTTCCTGTTTTATCACCTAGAAAATTCAAGAAGCTTCATGTAAAAACAGGTCATTCAACAATGTCTTCCAAATAGAAGTTTCAATTTAATGCAAGCTAAGGTATATACAGAAACTGTTCAGCATTTTTTAGACTGCCTCTTAAACAGCATGTGAGGCCATGACGTGTCACCAACTTGAAACAGAGCACGTTATGGAAACATGTTTGTGTACATATAAACAGACAGTTATATAGCCGATTTGTATCTATCTCATTCAAGGGCCGAATCTTCCTCTTTCAACTGTCTTCCGTGAAAAATATTCCGGCCTAGCAGTTTAACTCCTGAAAGTTTTACTTGACACTTTTTTAGATTAGAATATTAAAATATATCAGATGACCTGATCATCTCTAAGTATTTTACAAAAGCAGCAAATTTTATAAAAAATGAAGTCTTTAATGTGTGCAGTTATAGCAACAACTTTCTCACTAATTACACCTACTTAGCAGTTATCATTAATAGCATATATCTATATAAGCAGAAAAGTAAAGCTCCTTCAGCAAAATGCAGTGACTTACTTTCTGCTCTTCCAAAATTTGTCACTATAAAGACCCACTTATTAAAATTTTTTTTAACGTTTATTTATTATTGAGAGACAGAGACAGAGGGTGAGCAGGGGAGACACACAGAGAGAGGGAGACACAGAATCTGAAGCAGGCTCCAGGCTCCGAGCTGTCAGCACAGGGCCCGACGCGGGGCTCGAACTCACAAACCATGAGATCGTGACCTCAGCCGAAGATGGACGCCCAATCGACTGAGCCACCCAGGCGCCCCAAGACCCGCTTATTTAAAAAAATATATAGGAACACACAAAACTGAATCCCACCAAAGAACCTCAGTGGTCCGTCTTCCAGGCTTTTTTTGTACTTACACATTTTTAAAAGCAGTCAGGATTACTAGAAGTAATATTCCAACACATTTTTTCAGCATGTTATAAGTTTTCCATGTCACTTAACGTGACTTTAAATGACCATAGGATATGATGATGTAGCTGTATCAGAACCTTTATGCCCAACCCTCTTCTTAACATATGAGCATTCACTACATAAACAATGCTGCTACAGTCGATATAGTTATCCATAAATACTTGTTCACTACTTTATTTGTATTCCAAAAAAGAAGAATTTATAGGTCAAAGATTATTTCAGGGAAGGCCTCTGACATATTATCAAACTGATCCTTTAACACAGTTGTTCCAATTTATCCTCCCAACTACTATGAATAAGAGTAGCTTTTCCAGGGTGCCCGGGTGGCTCAGTCAGTTAAGAGTCTGACTCTTGATTTTGGCTCAGGTCATGATCTCATGGATTGTGAAATCGAGCCCCGCGTCGGGCTCCGCGCTGACAGAGCACAGCCTGCTTGGGATTCTCTCTCTCTCTCCCTCTGCCCCTACCCTGCTCGTGCTCTCTCTCTTAAAATAAATAAAAAATAAACATTAAAAAAAAAAAGTACTTTTCTCATCACACTCTCAACAATGAACTTATGTTTTAAAAAAAATCACTGCTAGTATTTAAGTGGAAAATGCCACTTCATTATAATCCAAATTCCTATTTCTGACAGTACTAAGTAAAATATTTCAAATGTTAAACAAGTATATTTCTCCTTTTGTGAACAGTCTGTTCAGGTTATTTGGGTATCTCTGAGGTATTTTTCTTATTGCTTCTAAGAGCTATTTCTTTTTTTTTTTTTTTAATTTTTTTTTCAACGTTTTTATTTATTTTTGGGACAGAGAGAGACAGAGCATGAACGGGGGAGGGGCAGAGAGAGAGGGAGACACAGAATCGGAAACAGGCTCCAGGCTCTGAGCCATCAGCCCAGAGCCCGACGCGGGGCTCGAACTCACGGACCGTGAGATCGTGACCTGGCTGAAGTCGGACGCTTAACCGACTGCGCCACCCAGGCACCGCTCTAAGAGCTATTTCAACATTAAGTATATAATTCTTTGTCTCATGTATTTCATGTGTCTATTTCTAAAATTAGATCCTACTTTTAAGATATATCTCAGTTTCAGATGTTAAAATGTGAAAATATAAGTATCTAGAAATGAAGCATTTTAGTCCCAATTTGTCATTTACCTTCTTCCTTTGTCCATGGGGTTTCTTTTGTTTACCTCTTTAATCCAACTTAGTTTATTTTTCCATATGTTGTATTGCACAGATGCTAAGATTTCTCTCCTTCACAATTTAACATTTCTGAACTTGGTACCCACATTCTCCAGATGGGTGTCTCCAATTTGATGAGACACGGCAATATAAAGTAGGGATTTAATTTTTTTCTAGATAGTTCAACTTCTTTATTGACTCAAGTACTGTTTTGCTCTCTGACATTCCATTTTTATTATATTTACAAAAGTTTACACACAGACAAACCTGTGTATATAAAACTTAGGCCTGCTTTTAGCTCACTCTGGGCGCGCTGACTAGTGCGGGTAGCTTTGCCTCTCTTAATACCCGCGGGCTGCTTTAAAAGCGTCCTACTAGAGCTCCGCGTCTGCTCTTGCCTTCCTGCACACCATCTCCCACGTGGCTCTCCTAACCGTCTTCTTCAAACACGTATCTCAGGTCACATCACCCACATCACAGCCCTGCGAGGTCTCAGCCGTCCCCAGTGTAACCCAGAGCTCCTTAACGTGGCACACAAGGCCCTTGGGTGACCTCTGGAATCTCATCGTCCTGTTCTGTAGCTGGTCTTCCAGCAGTTCCTCAGAAAAGGGCTAAGATCATCCTCATCCCCAGGCCCAGCTCCATACCGCGCCTCCTCACACAACTTTGCTTCCTACCACTCTTGATCTGATTAAATCCAGTAACGCAGGTCCAGGCTAACTGATATAGCCACTAGAAAGACAGAAAGCCTCAGGTTAAAAAAGAACCCCTTGACACGTAGTAGCAAATGACAGGGAACCAGAGGTGGCACATGAAGTCACGTGCGCTTATTCCACGTATTCTTTTGGTTCAACTCTCACCAAGGTTGTGAGCGGAAGACAATGGAGGGAGGGCCCAGGAAAAAGAGGGGAGATTAACTCCTCACATTTCTCTTCCTCCTTTGCCTCACTCAGCCCTTTCACATGGAGCCTAAAAGCAATTACAATAAAGAGAGAAGCAGTTTCATGAATGAAAGTAGCTGGAGGATACCAAGCTGCTCTAGCTGAGTAAAAAAATTAGCTGCTAAAATATCTAAGGTTTTTTCTAAGTATGGAGTCGCCACACAGAAAACTAAAAACGAGAGATACACCCCTATGTTTAGAAATTAGTCAACTTTCAGGGCACCCGGGGGGCTGTCAGTTGAGTGTCCAACTTTGGCTCAGGTCATGATCTCACAGTTTGTGAGTTCGAGCCCCCCGTCGAGCTCTGTGCTGACAGCTCGGAGCCTGGAGCCTGCTTCGGATTCTGTGTCTCCCTCCCTCTCTCTGCCCCATCCCCACTCATGCTCTGTCTCTGTCTTAAAAATAAATAAAACATTAAAACAAAAAAAAAGAAATTAGTCAATTTTCATTCAAAGAAAAACAATCCTAAATATTCTAAGTTTAAAAGGATTTTGCCAGGGGTGCCTGGGTGGCTCAATTGGTTAAGCATTCAGCTCTTGATTTCGGCTCAGGTCATGATTTCACGGTTTGTGAGATCAAGTGCAAGCCTGCTTGGGATCCTCTCCCTCTGCCCTGCCTCAGCTCGTGCACATGCATGCTCTCTCACTCTCAAAATAAAAATGAACTTAAAAAAAAAAAAAGGATTTTGCCAACTTTTAGGATAGTACTTCACCCTAGCGTAGTATCTCTTCACAATAAAAACCATGTCCAAAACAAAAAATTCTCACATATGGACACAGCACATTTTACACCTTCATCTACTGCCTCATTTTTAATTCTTCATGGGGTTTTAATGCAATGTGCATGCATATGCCCTAGTGAACATGTTTTCATCAGAGGCAGAAGAGACATTGCAAAACAAAACAAACAATCACACACATGGAACCAGCAACACTAAAAAACTTTTGAAAATGAATCTGGATTGACAATTTTTAAAAAGAATACCCAGCATGGCAGGAGCATAGCGAGAAGGGCATTTTCATACTGGCTGGTGGGAAATAAATTGGTAAAACCTTTCTGGAAAGTAATTTCACAATATACACTAAGAGTCTCCAAAATTGTTTCTCTCTCCAAACCAATGATTCAGTTTCTAGGTTATCTGTCCTAAAATATTAACTGAAAATATGAATGAAAAGTTATACTAAAAGCAAACACCTAGACAGCATTTACTGTTTGCCTGGCTCTGCTGAAGTTGAATAGTAATCCTCAGACCAACACCATGAAGTAGGTACTGTTATGTTGGGCCCACTTTACAGATAAAGAAACTAAAGCCCAGAGGCATAAACAACTTGAGTAAGGTCACAGAGCTTGTAAACAGTTGAGCAGATCTGAACCCAGGCAATTTCAGCCCGAGTGTACATCTTTAAAGTACAATACTATGATGCCTTTCCCTATAAAGATACCCGATACAGTGATACTTCCCAGAAGACCTAAAAACAAATATTAATAATAGAATGATGGCTAATGATACATCCATTCATAAAACTGATATTAAGCTACATTAAAATATTTCTAAAGAATTACTGAGTTGGCAAATACTTCTGATAGAACACATGAGAAAGAACAGGTTATAAATAAAGGAATATAGTTGACCTTTGAACAACACAGGGGTTAAGGGGTGCCAACCTCACAGGCAGTTGAAAATCCACATATAACTTTTGACTCCCCAAAACTTAACTACTAATAACCTACTTCTGACCCAAAGCTTTACCAATAACATAAACAATGAACACACACTACATATGTTATGTGTATTATACACTGTATTCTTACAATCAGATAAGCTAGTGAAAAGAAAACGCTATTAAGAAAACTATAAGGAAGAGAAAACACACTTCCGGTGCTGTTACGTATTGGAAAAATTCAGAGGTGGACTTGCACAGTTCAAAGTGTGTTGTTCAAGTGTCAACTATGGTATGTGCTCATGATCCCAACTTAGAATATATATTAATACACACGTGAAGATAGCTACGTAAGGCATATGCACATATAAATCTCAGTTTTCTACAAAAAGAAAATCTTAAACACACACCACATGCATCATTTGGGAAATACAATCAAATTTAAAAGTCAAAACTTTACTACTTAATATGTAACTAACATCTTCCAGACACAGGAGTTTAAGTTACTGTAAGAACATAAAATTATAGTAACATTACTTACTCTTTTTATCTGATGAGCTACTAAAATCTATACCACCAAGGCCTTCACTGCCAGCAGTTGAAGTAGCTGCCGTGGTTCCCAAAGTCAAGCCTAAAGCATTCTGCCCAAGTCCTACAAATAAACCAAATATTATTTATAAGCCCAGAGGGATAAACATCCACTGCCTCATTTTTCACTGAAAGTCTTCATAATTTCACCTTAATGACCAAAGCATTCAAACTGTTTTTAAGTTGGATCCTGGATTTTCTTCATACTTATTTAAGCAAATAACAAGAACAAGTCTAGAGTATGCTTTGGACAAAGACTGATAGTCTTGCTGGGATTCGATGGTATAAGGAGTTTGGATGATGTAATTTTGATTTCTTTACTTTTTAGGCAATCTTTTTAGATGTAGCTGACACACAATGTCACATTAGTGTCAGGTGTACAATGGTGACCTGACAAGTCGACACATCATGCTATGTTCACAAGTGTAGCTACCCCCTATGTCACCACACAACCTTATTACAATACCACTGACCATATTCCCTGGGCTGTACTGCTCATCCCCGAGATTTGCGCAGTCCGCAACTGGAAGCCTGCACCACCTACTCATCTTCGCCCATTTTGCCCATCCTCCTACCCCACCCACTCTGACAACCATCACTTTGTTCTCTGTATCTACAGATCCGTATCAATTTTTCTTTACCAGAAGGATCAGAGAGTGTAGGTTAATTCAATACATGTGAACAATCCATTTTATTTGTTGCTTTTTAAACCCTCTCTACAAAAAGCAGTTTTAGCTTGTACACTTTCAGGTGAACGCGTCACGTCTTCCAATCAGGCTTTGGAATCGTATACTTTTAAATTACCTAGTACTGGATGTGTGAATTAACTTGACAGAATCCCTTTACAATGTATATGTATCAAATCATCATGCTCTACACTTTAAATATCTTACAATTTTATTTCTCAATTATACCTCAGTAAAGGTGGGGATGGACAGATAAATAAAACAGTGATGATTTGTAAGGTTTCAGTATTAATATAAAGCAAATAGTTTTACTATTAATGAAATTTAAAGAGCTGACAGTTGGAAGCCTTACAGTTCAAACATCACCAAAACTGCATACTCCCAAGTTCTTTTTATAAACGTTAAAAAAGAAAGAAAAGAAAATTCATTTATTTAAATCCCACCTGACTGACAAAAGGAATTGAAGGGGCTAGACTGTTAATCTTAAATTATTAATGTATGCTTGTGAATCAAGTAGCAAAATTTTAGAGACCTTGCATTGGTAAATCACAGAAGTCCATGCATTCCCAAGCTGACAATGCGGACAGTATGCTATTTAGAGAAACAGTAGGAGGTACTGGATCTGAGCACAGGATGACTGAAAGCTGGATTCAAACACTGGCAACGCGTGAAAAAAACAATGCTAAACATACGTTAATTTTTTAAAGTCAATGGCATCTTTAGGTTAGCATAACCATAAATTAAGCACTGATGTGTGTCTAGAGCCTAAGAAAAATTAGAACGGACCTAAAAACTCATCAGCAGACGCAAAAACAATCCTCAACCTCCCCTATTATTTTTGTGTTTTGCTCTCACAGGAACCTTTAGGAAAGATGTTTAAATATTTATCCTGCAAGGAAATGTACGTTATAGTCATCCACTGATTTATTTGAAGACATTTTGAGTACCTAAAAGGTTAGACAATAGTGACAAAGATAAGTGTTTGAAAGATCAAAGCAAACTTGAACACCACAAACTTCTACAGGTTATCCTGACGAACTCAAACTCCTTTTTCCCTTTTCCACTGACCCAGAGTTTCTTCATTGAATTTAGTATCTGAATAGAGGACACAAAAGAACCATAACTAATAGAAAACATCAGGTCATACTCCATCTCTCCCACATACCAATTATTAGACACATATTAGGTGTTCAGCAAAACTTGTGAAAATCAAATAGCCATTATAAATGAACGTATGTATTGGAAATTCTGTGATTTCAACACGTTATCAACTTTTTTTTTTATTAAAAAAAATTTTTTTTCTTTTAGTGTTTATTTACTTTTGAGACAGGGAGAGACAGAGCACAAGCAGGGGAGGGGCAGAGACAGAGCGGGAGACACGGAATCCAAGGCAGGCTCCAGGCTCTGAGCTGTCAGCACAGAGCCCGACGCGGGGTTCGAACCCACGAACCCGTGAGATCAAGACCTGAGCTGAAGTCGGATGCTTAACCGACTGAGCCACCCAGGCGCCCCAACACGTTATCAACTTTTCCTAACTCATACATTAGGTTAGGAAACAGAAACTCTTTTTTTGAGAGAGAGAGAGAGAGAGAGAGAAAGAATCCCAAAGAAGCTCCATGCTCGGCACAGAGCCGGAGACGGGGCTCGATCCCACAGCCGTGAGATCAAGACCTAAGCCAATATCAAGTCAGATGCTTAACCCACCGAGCCACCCAGGCGCCCCAAACAGAAATTCTTTTTTTTTTTAAATGTTTTTTTTTAACGTTTTATTTATTTTTGAGACAGAGAGAGACAGAGCATGAACGGGGGAGGGGCAGAGAGAGAGGGAGACACAGAATCGGAAGCAGGCTCCAGGCTCTGAGCCATCAGCCCAGAGCCCGACGCGGGGCTCGAACCCACGGACGGTGAGATCGTGACCTGAGCCGAAGTCGGACGCTCAACCGACTGAGCCACCCAGGCGCCCCCCAAACAGAAATTCTTGATTCTATACTGCTATGTGAGATAATTATACAATGTCTTCAAATCAGAGGAAAGCTTTTCTCACTTCCACATAGCCCCAATGGCTGTCCTGCATTATATTACTGTGTTACATTATATACAGTATCATGTTTCCTCTATTATACATTCCTAATATTCAAAACATGTTAAGGTAGAATCCTTAACATGAGGCCAATTTCAAAATAAGCATGAAATGAAAACTCAATCTAAGATAGAACACATTAAGTATTCTCTGCCAAGTGAATGATACTTTAGTATTTTGTCTGACTATAATAAATTTAATACTTGTGTTTTAAAACTTTGCTTTCAAAACATGCTAATACCCTTTCCTGATGTCTTTAATGGAAAGCCATTCTTACAACCAGAGCTTAAAAGGTCAAGTTGTCTTACAATGAATTTAGATACTAAACGATTCAAGTTAAGCAACTGTCTTTTATTAAAAAGACAAGTTTCTCTAGAATAGTTTATTCCTGAGGCACCTGGGTGGCTCAGTCAGTTAAGCAACCAGCTTCAGCTCAGGTCATGATCTCACAGTTCGTGAGTTTGAGCCCCACGTCAGAGCTGGTGACAGCTCAGAGCTTCGGATTCTGTGTCTCCCCCTCTCTCTGCTGCTCCCCCGCTCACACTCTGTCTTGCTTTCCTTCAAAAATAAATAAACATTAAAAAAAAATTTTTAGAATAGTTTACTCCTCCTTAAACAGGCCCCTCTTTGCTTCTTTATCTAGTCAGTCAATACTGAGGGGCCCCTGGGTGGCTCAAACGGTTAAGTGCCCAACTCTTGGTATCAGCTTAGGTCATTCTTGCAGTCATGAGATTAAGCTCCACGTCAGGCGCTGCGCTGGGCACGGAGTGAGATTCTCTCTCCCTCTCTGCCCCTCCCCTGCTCATGTGCTCTAAATAAATAAATAAAAATATTGAGCAGAAAAATTTATTTCTACATAGCTAAGATGTCTAATTATGTATGAAAAACATTATTTTTTAATTCAGTGTTCATACTGAACAAAAAATCTATAGGTTAAAGAGATAAAATGATCTGTTCAAAAGGCTGAAATAGAGATAAAGTAAATTTAAAAATAAATAGTTACTATTTCTGGAATGTAAATACCATCAATTACCTGATGTTGCTGTGTTCGAACTCTGGAAAAGCGAACCTCCCAAACCAGCTAAGGCTCCCCCTAGAGAGAGGCTTGTTGATGCAGTAGTAGTCGTGGCTGTTGTTCCACCCAAGTTATTTAGAGTAAATCCTGTAGATGCTGTAAAAAATGAAATTGTAAGCCTTCACAAGGAAACATCATTTCTAAGAACACCAGAGAAAATAAAAACACTTCCCAAGAAATGCAAAAAGCAAAAAAACAAAAACACAACAAACAACCCTTCATGTCCATGATAAAATTCACTTAGGAAAACCTACTCATTAAAGATGAAGTTATATATATACCTAAGAATAAAGAGAAATCGTACCTTCAGAGCAAAACCTAGTGACAGAAATAAGAGTTCTGGGTAATACTACAATGGTATCAGGTAACTGATTCCAGACAGTAATAAGGAGTTTTTCCACCCAGGACACCAACTTCGCCTTCGAAATGGAATGAATCCTAAGCCAGGCAATATTTATGAAAACTCTTTACCCTTCCCTGTCACCAAAATGCTCCCTGAAAACAAAGTGGATGTTAATAATTTTACATTTTGCCTCTCACTCTGTCCCTGCTTTGCTCTGTAAATAGAGACTGACCTCCAAGATGGTCCCTCCTGCTTTAAGGACCAGTGATGGCCTTCTTCACAAATCAGTAGTTTACTAGGTCAAAACTGCCTCATGGTTGAAATAAACTTTCCAAAACCAAAGTTCTCTTTAATAATAAAGGTGGATACCTATGTTCACCAACGGCAAAACTAGTAAATTCAACCCTAAGAGGTGGCTTCTCCCATTGTGCCTCACCTGCAGGAGTTGACGTCAGAGCAGACGAAAGAGTAAGACCGCTAGCTGAGGTAGAAGTAATGGGCAGAGCAAATGGTGTGGCAGACGCAGCAGGTTTAGCGAATCCTAAACTGAAACCCGTCGTAGATGCGGATGTTGTGGCTGGCGTTCCTGCGCAAACAGACAAACAGATCCTATTTTACCATAAGTGTGTATCATACCAGTTTCAATCAGGATCCCTAAAAGATAGAGTCCGTCTACTTTTGCAGATAGAACAAGGATCCATGTACTTGTATATGCACGAAAAAGTCACATATAAAAGGTGGGACCAAATCAGGGTGCATGCTTAAAAAAGATGGCCCTGGGATTTAAGAACAGCAAAAAAGTCCAGTCACTGTGGTAATGTTGAAATCCATTTTCAGCTCTACCCCTGAATGTACCTAAAATAGCATTTACCCTTCCTTTATACTCAGCAGAAAAGTCTCCCTCCCCTCCAAGGCTCTTTAAACCTGCATTCTCTACTGCCCAGTGTTCTGGGTTTCTGTCAGCTCCCACTACTCCTTTCAGTCTCCTTCCGTCCATCTCCTTCCTCTGTTCACTTCTTTTTTTAAAAAAAATTTTTTTTTTCCAACGTTTATTTATTTTTTGGGACAGAGAGAGACAGAGCATGAGCAGGGGAGGGGCAGAGAGAGAGGGAGACACAGAATCGGAAACAGGCTCCAGGTTCTGAGCCATCAGCCCAGAGCCTGACGCGGGGCTCGAACTCACGGACCGCGAGATCGTGACCTGGCTGAAGTCGGACGCTTAACCGACTGCGCCACCCAGGCGCCCCTCCTTCCTCTGTTCACTTCTTAAATGAGGCTGCCTATGGTACCAGGCCTGCTTCCTTACTTCCCAACCGCAGAATTTCAACCACAGAAACATGGTCTTGATTTACACCCCCTGGAGTCTCCCCTGGCTAGCTCTGCCTGGATGTCCCTCTGCACCTCTGCATCCCCCTACACAAAAGCACTCCTAAATCCCCTGCCGTGGTCCTCTCAGCTGCTCGTGCCAGAAGCCACGACCCTCCCTGATGCCCCTTCTCTCTCCTACATTCTACTAGCCACAAACCCTGTCAATGCTCCTGCAGAAATATCCCTGGATTACAAGCATCTTCAAATACCTTAGCTCAGGCCATCTCCCTCTCAAGAACTATTATCACAACCTCTTGATTTGTTTCTGTGCTGTCAGTCCTTCTAACCTCTAATCTATTCTTTGAATCAGTTAGTTACTTTAATAACAAGCGAGAATACCAACAAAAAATAATACCCTGCTGATTCTCCTGGACTGAAGGCTCCCATTAGCTCTCTACTATCTCTACGCTACAGCCTAAAGGGCTGGCACACAACCACCTTTCCTATCTTGTCCCAACTTGCTCCTCAAATTCCCTCTCTGTACCATTCCCACCTCTGAATCCAAAACTCTAAGAACCGAGTATTTTTCCTACTTCCCCGGTCCTTTTATAACTGGGCCTTTGCACTTTCCATTCCTGCATCAGGAATAATGTCTCCTGCCCCCCAAATAAACTTCTACCCTTTTCTTTCTCTTCCTTCCTTGGTGCCTTTCATACATCTGTTACGGCCTTTATCAGATCACACAAGAACATATTACTACACCTGCCTGTCCCCTTCACCTCGGAACACACCGAATGCCCTGCTCACGCACTCTGTAGTTCTTGACGTCATCCGCACCGCCCTCACCACCAGTACCATCGCCACACCAACAGCTAATACTGAATGTTCAAACCGTCATGCACACCTAAGGCCACACGGTTAGGACGCAGCAGCTGCTCAAAACTACTAAATGAAGACATGTATATCAACCTGCATTTTGGCTTTTCCCGAGAGCACGAAGAAGCCAGAAACTAAGCTTCTGGATTGTCCTTACCACAACCAGAAGTTCCTGCCAGAGTACAGTGCTTTGAAATCCTGCACGGGTTCAACAATCTCAGAAAATGAAAGAATCCAACTGCTTGTCCTTGAAGCCAGTCCTGTCCAAACCGCTGGTAGTAAACAGATGTGCTATGCTTTCTCCCGATACCAGGTGAGTAGCATCCAAATGAAAACAGTCCACCAATCTTGAATTTATTTCAACTTTTGGTTTAATTTTAATTAATAAATTTAATTTTAATTGAGGCTCCTCACTGTCCTTTCATTCATTCCTTTCCTTTGACATTATTAATCGCCATTCTAGTTACTCACATTCCATTTGGCATCTCACTGCAGAGAACGAGGGTATTTTTGAGCCAGAAGGAAGTCAAAAACTTTTAGTCTAATACTTTCACTTTATAGATAACTAAAAGCTGCCAGATATTACATGACTACCTAAGACCTCACGACGACTTGGAGGTATAAGCAGGATTTAATTCCAAGACTTCTGAGCTATGTAGTGTGGTGCTTTTTTCACTACAAGGACTCAAATAACTGCAAACTGTAATGTGAAATTTCCACAGAAAAACCACTTCTGTATTTAAGGCTTTTTTTTCTGAATTAAAAAGTCACTGAGTTTTTAAAACACGCCAGTACTAAAAGGTTCTGTGATGAGTGTCTGTGATCTCTGTTAGGTTCCTTACATGCTTCCTTCTATACCCCAGCTCTGTGAGATATTACGAGAAGAGTAGAAAACCACAGATCTGGGAATCTTTCCTCAAAAATTCTTACACAGAGTTAATCCTGTAGTTATAGTTGTTGCTATTCCTGGGGACAAAAAGAGAAATAAAATTTAATTCATCAGTGGAAGATGGCATTTTGGGGGTTTATCACAAGGGGAGACTTGGAATCATCTTCAGGGTGGGATAACACTACTCAGACGACCAGTATCTTCCACCATAACCGCTAACACAAACGTTCTTCCTATAGCACTGGTTTTCATATTGCAAGCTGTATATAATTTTGATTAATTAGAAAATAAAATTTATAAAATGCAAACAACTACTGCTTATAACAAAATTAGGAAGGAGAAAAAAAAGCTACTCTAAGCAAAACACTGGCACGTAGAGCTATTTCAAGAAGCTCCCTGGTTGGTGTCACATCTACTCCTGCAGTTCTTACATTTTCTATGTGTGGCTGTGAAATGTTGCAATCAAAGCTGGAAGGTCAATGCAAAAGGTGGTAACAGAGACCAAGAGGCCCTGAGGGTAGAGAATAAAAAGTCAATAAGGAAGTAAACTGTTTAAATGGTAGTACCAGTGAATCATATTTTTAACTAATAATAAAATACCCATAAGTATTAAAAAAACAAACAACTTTTTATTATTGAAATGTCTACCTTTTCCCATTGAGACAGTTGTTTTAATAATACAAAATCTTAAAACATCTCTTAGGAAGGCAAATTATAATTTTACAGTAAAATAGATGCTAACTGTCCCACATATGCTCAATTAAGTCCAAATTGGTAAACTCCTCTTGACTAAAGTAAAACGCTGCATTATATAATTTAATATAAATTGTTACTTTATTCATCGTATTTAAGGAGGTATACCATCTTTGTGTCAAGTTACAAAAAATTTTTTTTCTTATGACAGATCTTATTTAATTCTTTAAATGTGTGTGTTTTCCTTCTTTACACAAAAATAGATTATAACTGGGGCGCCTGGGTGGCTCAGTCAGTTAAGCATCCAACCTCAGCTCAGGTCATGATCTCGCAGTTCATGAGTTTGAGACCCACATCGGGCTCTGGGCTCACAGCCCAGGGCCTGAAGACTAGTTCAGATTCTGTGTCTCCCTCTCTCTGCCCCTCCCCTCCCCCC